CTCTCTCTCTCTCTCTCTCTCTCTCTCTCTCTCTCTCTCTCTCTCTCTCTCTCTCTCTCTCTCTCTCTCTCTCTCTCTCCCTCTCTCTCTCTCGTCCGCTACGTTCGACGCAGGGGAAACCCGTTTGTCGCGTTGGAGTGTTATGGTTCGCGCAACAAATGAGCTGCGGCCGAACGCAACGACCGTTTATGTACCCGTTCGGACCGTTTCCCCTGCGCTACCGCCAGCAGGCCACTGAAGGCAGGCACCCCGCGAACACCGTGCACAACGCAAAGGGGTTCGCGCGTGTTTTTTTAATTTTTTTTCGTTAAAAAAAAAAAAAAAAGTGCATGGGGCGGTACCCGACAACAGACACTACCACCCCACACCTTCATAAAACCCCTACCCCCCCCAAACGCGAGGAAACGCGGTTCGCGGACCCCGTTCATCCGCGTCCTACGCGCGTTTGAACGGGGATTGAACGTGCATTCAACGCGCGTTCAATTTTGCAACGTGAAACCCGCGTTGAATCCAATTTCGGACACACAGTCAAACAATCGTTGGTGATGGGTGTGGATTTGTTTCCCATAGGTTATCAGTTGTCGGTGTGGATTGTCATTAGCACTCTTAGGGAACCTTGATGATGGATGTGGATTTGTTTCCTGCAGGTTATCAGTTGTTGGGAAGTCTTTGATGCCACCACTGACGCTATTCTGGTGGGTCTGCGGTTGGCCTTCTTGTCGAACTTGGATCTGTTTCGAGCAGAGTTTCGCACTCCACAAACTTATCAGTTGTTGGGCAGTCTTTGATGCTCAATCACAACTGAGGCTAGGTTGGTGGATCAGTGGTCGGCCTTCCTGTTGGACCTAGATCTGTTTCGAGCAGAGTTTCGCACTCCAAAAACATAATTGAACTCCAGGTCCCGCAAGTTATCAGTTGTTGGGTAGTCTTTGATGCTCAATCGCAACTGAGGCTAGGTTGGTGCGTCAATGGTGGGCCTTCCTGTTGGACCTTGATCTGTTTCGAGCAAAGTTTTGCACTCCACAAACAGAATTGAACTCTAGGTCCCGCAGGTTATCAGTTGTTGGGCAGTCTTCGATGCTCAATCGCAACTGGGGCTAGGTTGGTGATTCTGTAGTTGGCCTTCCTATTGGACCTGGATCTGTCTCGAGCATAGTTTCGCACTCCACAAACAGAATTGAACTCCAGGTCCCGCAGGTTATCAGTTGTTGGGCAGTCTTTGATGCTCGATCGCAACTGGTTGGTGGGTCTGTTTCGAGCACGTTATGAGTTGCTGGACAGTCTTTGATGCTTAATCGCAACTGGGGCTAGGTTGTTTTTCGTTTCTGCTGAATGACATATAAGCAAAGTGCGAGTTAACTCTTTCTGAAGTGGATTGCTTATGGTTAACACCGCAAGTGCGAGTGAACTCGCACTTAGATGGAGAGCTAGGTGCGCACACTATCAACGTGGTGATTTAATATGGATGCTGGGTTGTTATTTGTATATTCCCGGATAAAATTGTCATCACATCTTTGCATGGACAAATCCATAGCATAAATTTGTAACATTCACTCTTGTCATCGCAAACATCGATCCCGCCCTTGACATGAGTATCTTTTCATCGAAAACATCCATGCAGACCGACGTCGCAGTACACAATCGAAGCATGTGTCGAGGCAGAACAACAGACGGTGGCCCAAATCAAAGCTGAGGCAGTTGTTAGATTTTGGCAATGAAAAAGCGAAAGAGATGCGTCGACTTATTGAGAACCACAAAATTGGCCAACGCAATGAAAACAACACTGGGTCGAAAGAGGGTGGAGAAGAACATAACATTTGAATTGTATAGCCTACGTTGGACCGAACGGAAAACCTTGCTCGACACCGTCCTTGAAATTTCTGCTCGAAATGGTCGGTGCACAAACACGTTTCAGATTGAAAATTCGGATGAATCCGAGACACCTAGCACCATGGCATTTGCATGTCAGCAGCGTGTGAGGTCCTTATATGGGATGCATCCAAGATGCTAATGTATCCAGCGGGGGCCAACAAAACTACATGTATGCAACACCGAGCACCCATCGGCACGTATACAAGCAATGAAAGTGATCACTAGCCTTCTGCATCTGGTAGAAATGACCACCTTCACGACGTGCCAAACAGTCGGCGGTAAGAGCTCTCGAGTGCTAAAAGCATTCGTAGGAGACCTTGCGGCCGTGTTCAGAACTTGTTGGCGTAGCACTAGATGCTCACCAAACAGTTCTGAATGTCGATTGTATCGACACATCATATGATGCTTACAAACAAGCAGTGACTGATTGCAGGACCTAACCGGTGTGGATATTTGAGAGCATATTTGACGCAATCCACCGTTAGATCCATTTTGGAGAGGGGGACCTGCCATCCTGCAGCTGTTTACTGTAGTCATCACGTGGGAGTCGACGACGCG